CTGGTTTAGCATCAAACATTTTTATTTCACTTTTATTGAATACAAGAACAGTGAGCACACACGCATACACCACCGAGCACTGAGAATGAGTATGACCGAAGGGGGGAGAGGGAGAACAAGGGAAGAGAAAACAGTTAGCGAAGGAACAACAGAGCGTTGCAGTTGGTTGGTAAGGTGCTTCTCAAATAAAAATAAATATTATTGTTACTGTTATTATTACTCATGCAACAGTGGCCAGGTTTGGAATGAATTTGTGGGATCGGGTAAAAACAGGCACTCGTGTCTCCCACCCCTTTCAACAGAAAGCCCCCTGGAAGAAAACAAGCGGCGATCAGCTGTCTGAAACGGAGCAAGGCCACGGGAGCTGAGCCCACAGGGGCCTCGGTTGTTACTGAGCAGCAGAAACCCACACCTCGCCGGGCGAATGAGCACTGAGCTTTTTGCTTTCCTTTTTTTCTTTTCTTTTTTTTCTAAGTTCTTACACACTGTCACCCATTAAACACGCTGCAGAAGCCGCGGACTGGATCTGCTCACTCTGAACATAACTCATCTCAGTCCAAGCGCACATCAAGCCTCACTGCAAGGCCACTCATTTTAACAGTAACCTTCGGGTTTACAACTGTCCACAAAGCCAAAAGCAAGCACTGACTTTCACAGCAGCCTCTGGTGGGTTGTACAGGTGTCAACGCCATGGGGTCTCCTCCGAGCAGGCCACAGGCTGATGAACAGCAGCGCCATGTGCGGACCACAGGTCTTCCACCACCCCGCCTCTCCCTCTGAGAGCGCCACTGCCCATTACAGCTGGTTTGGGTGTATTGAAAAAAGAAAAGAGAGAGAAGTGGCCTCTTTGCAATCACCTAAACTCTGTTTTGGTTGGGGGTCTGCTCTCCAAAGGTAGTTGAAGGCGCTCGGATGGAAGCTGGGGAGACCCTCATGACCTGGCAGCGGCTCTGTCCGCTTCCCAAGCAGTCTGTGCTCACACCTTTCACGCTCGCAGGAGAAACCTCTCTGCCTGAAGGAGAACAGACTTTGGTCCCGAGTGGCAGGTGAACCGTGGCTGCCGGGGAGCAGGCTCTCTTCTAGGACAGCAAAGGCAGCGGGCGGAGCCTGCCCACAGCATCCTCACGGCGCAGGCTTCCCCGCTTGCTGTCACCCTCCCAGCCATTGCAGGACCTGGCAAACGCACCTACTTCTGGGCACAGCCTGCATGAGGGGTGGGAAACTAAAGGCAAAATGGTGCTGAATCATGGGCCCTTCTGTTTCTGCAGGAGCTAGAGACAATTCCAAGAAGGAAATCCATTTATTTCCTTTCCTTTCTAGCTTTGGTTCCCAGTCTACCCTAACTGCCTGGCTCACAGTGTACGAGGCCCTGCGCTTGGCCTGTGATCCCCTCCTGAAAGCCTGGGGCTAAAGGCTGAGCTAGGATAAGCTGCGGGAAGGCAGCTCCGCTGACATCCCCTTGACACGTGCTTTCTTACGCAGAGGCTCGCTCGTCCAGCCTGGGATGCTGGGGACGCTCTGCAGCAGTGGAGGCAGCATGGCCTCTCCACTGCCCATCCCTAGGCAGGCTGGGGAAAGGACTGCCACCACCCCGCCATCGCTGTCACCAGCCCGCAGCGCCTTGGGTGGCCCTTGCTGTCACACCCCAGGCAGGGGGGGAGGCAGGGCAGAAACAACCCCACTGCCTTCAACCCTACTACAAAGCTCAAGTAACTTCATTACTGGGATCCAGAAACAAAGCAAAACCACCCCAACCGCTGGCACAGCTCAGTGGGCTGGAGAGGAGCGGGCGAACACAGTCCCGCAGCCGTCACCTTGCTCCCAGCTGGCTCCCATGGCTCCGGGTGGAGCTGCAGCCTCGACCGCCTTCCCTGCCCCTCCAGGTCACCACTGGCCCTCCAAAACCAACCAGCATGCACTGCAGATCAGCTGGTGGGACGTCTCCCATCTCCTGCCTTCTCCCCTTCCCCCCCAGAACAGCAGTGGCTGAAACCTTCCCTGTTCTCTTCTTGCAGGACGGAGGGTCCCACGTGTGAGCTAAGAGTCTCCAAATACACCAACCACAGTCAATCAAAGAGATAATAATTTAAAAATGTCATCGTCATATTTACCAGCGCTGTTGAATTATTTCGGTATTGTTCCCTCCCTCCCCCCTTGTTATATATAATAATATACATAACTTAAATGCACATCCATATGAAACCCCTACAGGCTGCTTTTGTTATAAATGAGAAACCATACACATATCATTTGTTTTGTCTGAAATGAAATCCATTCTTAAATACCTTCAGAGAACAAGAGGCTGGACAAGTGCACAGAGAAGAAGATACAGAACGTAGGGGGAGGAGTTAACAGAACCCCAAAGGATGCAAAAGAACAGGCATGGAATGAGAAGGGCAAAACCACACCTGTGAATTGGAAAATAACTCTAAGGTGATAAAGTCAATGTTTTTCTCTCTTCTTCCCAGAGGTGGGGAATGGGTTTGCTTCTGCTTGTGGGTTTTTTATTTTATTTAAGTTTGCTTCTTTCTTGCTTTGTTGCAAAGCAGTTTTCCTTTCCCTTCAGTGTACAACAAATGAATTCATGATCGTGTATCCTTTAATGCAACATGCAAGATGGTGGCTTACTGTACTGTTAACAACATTAGTGGTAGTAGCAGGATGGTTTAGATCTTACTATTTTATCACCAATCCAGTAAATTCTTCAATTTATCTGCAAAGAGGGTTGGCTCTGTTTGGTGGCGGTGGTGTTTGCTATTCATTTCCAGCATATAGCAGCAGTGCAAGGATGCATTTTGTTTCCTGTTTTTATATATATATATATATATATATGTATGTATGTATATATATATAAAATATATTTGCTATTCCTTTTTTAAAAATTTTTTGTCTCTCGCCATGAACATTGCAGCCAGGATGTCTATGTCTTGCTGACAAATCCAGCATGAAGGCTCCTTCTCCGCTGTTCTCCAGGTTTGAATACAGATGCCGACTTCCACGAACATGTTGGTCAAGACTCCTGTACAAGGCAGATGGAAATGACCGGTCATGGGGGGCTGATCTCTTGGGCTACAAAAGGGCTGCTCTTGGTGCCAGGGCACTGGACAGTGAATTTGCAAACACCTGGGGCCACGGTTTGCACTTAATTACCAGGACCTCTGGTAAGCAGCAGGAGCTCTCAGTTCACTGGGTGAATTGGTGCTGGTGCACAAAGGAGGTAATGGTGGGTCACTGCTCCCTTACGCTCAGCCACTCCATTAGAACTGGGCGCTGCCTAAGTGATGCAGGAGCGCCTGGGCTTGCTCGTTTGTATGGCACAATAGCGGCTAAGATGAGGCGGATGCGAGAGCCTCTTCCAACCTTCCAAGCTGCAGCGGAGCTGGTCACTTTTCTGGGCTTAAAAGCTGCTACTCAAAATCTTTGCATGATAAAGAAACACAGAATCACATTTCCAAAGAGGCCTCTTGCAATGCACCTGCAGCCTGGCCAGTGGCAGAGCTCCTCAGACACTTTTCAGCAGTGAAGCTGCCTTCAGAAGCCCCCCGTCTCCCTTCCAGCCCTGACAGAGCCCTGCTGGGCTGTGCCCCCACCGACCAGCCTGCCTGGGGGGCAACGGCGGCAGAGGAGGGGCTTCAGCATGGGGCAGGGCTCCTCAAGCCATCTTTGCTCCGAAGAAAAATGTCTGGGGCTGTGACTGCTTGGGGGCTTCTGTGGGGAGGTGCAAACCTCATGCGCTGCTGCCTGCACCTGCGTGCGCATAAAAAGAACCTGGGGATCTGAATGGGGGTAAAGAAACCTCAAGTTGTGCAAACACTGGTCTGATACTGCCTCGTTTTCTTGCAAACGCTGGTCCGATACTTTTGGGCTGTAGCCAAGTTTCTCAGCACAGCCATAAAACCGGTGTCGCC